TTCATCTATCGAGGGTGAGTTATTTCTCCCGAATACCATTCGACGTACTTCAGAATTGCTGATCCGGTGTTCCCACCAGATTCGGGCAATGCTCCGAAGACATCGATGGTCAAACACTGAGTCTTTTGACGTCCTCGGCGCGCAGCGGCCAGGTTTCTGATCCATATAGTAATATGGAGCGCACCGCAGCATTGTAAACTCGACCCTTGACAGAGAAGCTGGTGTCTTCTAGATGTCTTCTTCTAAATTGGAAGGAAGGTATGCCAACGAACCGAAGTCGGTGGTACTCGTGTTGCCAGTTTCCTCTCAGGTTGTTTGACCGTGCTGGATATGCACCAGTACCAACTCGACCCTTGACAGAGAAGCTGGTGTCTTCTAGATGTCTTCTTCTAAATATACTGGAAGGTATGCCAACGAACCGAAGTCGGTGGTACTCGTGTTGCCAGTTTCCTCTCAGGTTGTTTGACCGTGCTGGATATGTAAACACCAGTACCGGGCTTTCTACATCTTCAGTTGTCTTCTGTGGCTACTCTTAAATAACTTGTTGTGGTCGCAAAACAACTAACGTTGGTGGGGGTTTAATTGTCCGCCGATTGCGGCGGGTTTGTCTCAAACGTCTCGCCATCTACCAACGTCACATCGGGGCGTTGTGGAGTGCACCAGTTCAGATGCGTCGCGCCTGCATATGTACAGCCATCTACTACAACGCCCAACCTAACAACGTGCTCCTTATCACCAAATCAGTGTTGCTGTCAACAATAAGGATGGTTGTGCAAGAGCAACAAGCAAGGCGAGGATCGGTGTTCTGTTAGGAAGAAGCAGTCCGCTGGTCACTGAAATTAATCGATCCAATAATTCCTTTCGTGAAGCAAGTAACATCCACAAAAACGGCATTCTCCATCCTAGCATGGCAATGAATTTCTGAATCCCACAGAAGTATGACACCTGGGGATTTCGTAGCGTCTACACCCTTATAGGAAACCACGGAGTTGGCATCTTTGATTGACCTTTTATCACTTGCGAGTTATTGTGCTATATCTGGTTTTGAACTGAACCTATACTCTCCATAGTGCAGTCAGCGGCTATTGCAATTCCTAAAGTGCTACTGTCCCCTGACACGTAACGTGCACAGGAACATGATGTAGACCCATGTAAAAACGTCCTCAGTACTATCTAGCTTGACTTCACTACTAAAACGTATGTTATGGAAGTGCTGTGTGTAAAAGTAGTCTCCAATGCTGGTAGGCAGCTGCAATTTCTGCCCATAACTTTAGCAACCTTAGGTAATGCGCCACTAAAGTCCTCTGGCTTGTGTTCTAGGTTTTTAATTTCGTTTTTACTGCTATCCTGTCACGAAGAGATAGGGCCTTACCTCGGTGTGACGGTTTGTGCATTCCCATAACCTACTGAGCTATACTGAAAAGTGCACATGTGGCGGTCAATGAACCTGTCACACCAGCTTGGTCACTGGGTACAGGTCTGACTAACACAGCCTCCTGGTCCTCTAGGTTGATGTTTGGAACATGTGTGGCGACTTACTCCTTAAACATTTGGGCTGCCATGATGGTCTTAGGCCAACCAGCACTGTCTTGCGGTTAGGCTTTCAAGTGAAAGACTTTAGTTAAGGACCCTGAGCGTCCTCCCGTCTAGGTCTGGACTCCCTGGCAGTACCTCAGCACACATAAAACAGTGAATTACACATTTACGGATAGTCTCATGCCACATCAACCGTTACTTGGTGCCACCAGATGGGTCGCTTTACTTGCAGTACACAGCAAGATGGGTAAGTAAAGCAGACGATTGCTGAAGCCTTTATTTTTCTTCTTTTTCGTGTTCGTTCTTCCTCAATTCCCGCCGTTGCTAGTGACATTCTTGAAGACTGACAGATCCGTTCACCGCCCATTGTCGTTAGCCGAAATAGCTACAGTTGACTCGGTCGCCACGGCCATAGCCACTTCGAAATCATCGTTCAAACCCCATCAACTTCTCGCTGCTGTTTACGCAGCTCTGGTGATGTCCGTTGATAGTCGTCTCTGTGTGGTTCGTTTGAGAACGTCTGTAAGAGTATTCCGTAGACGCGCCGATAATCGCTGTCTGTTCATCGTCTCTGCTTGCACTCAAACGACGATAGATCTGATAAACTCAAACACAGATTTTACGGTGCATTGAGTGCTTTCTTACGGCGGGCCAAGGGCCCATGCGGTTGCCGTGGGCATGAATAGACAAGTGTGGAGAATTAACGCTGCTGACGCTTAAATGGGCGGTTGTTTAGGAGTGGAATCCTAATGCACTGACAACGATAAGCTTATTCTGCTGACCACAGTGCAGTGCTAATTTCCGAAACATCCGAAGCCGCTTGACAACATCGCGTCCCGCGTATGCGAGCCAGCGTTCGATGCGGATAGGCTAAACTGCCACCAGCTATAGATGACGTCGTTCAGTTACGGATAGTTGGTCATTTTGGAACACCAATTTGTTTTCGGATCACGCGCTTGTTCGTTGCTGCTTCTTGTTACACTTTTAAGGACTTCACAGAATACCTGATAATCGAAGAACTCTCGGACGCCGATTTGAAACAAGTCAAGCAGCACCACCTGGTGAAATCCGTTTTGGACAATGCCGCTTATGATTTTGGCTTTTACGGGAAGGTACTGTTCACAACCCTGCAAGATGCTTGGTGCTGGGGTTGTGGAATGATTCATCTAAATAGACTTTGGCTCTACATCTCGAAGCTATGCCACCTCTAGAGGAACCGCCAAACCTCAGGTAAAAAGACCACCTGTGCGACTACAGATAGTTATTGGATCCAGAATGCTGAAGCGTTGAAGAAGACGAGATACCGTTAATGTGTCAAAGTAGCTTTTTGACGGACGGGGAGCCTCTGTTGCATTGCTACCTACTTGGACGACCTCATCGTTATGTTTTCAACCGCTACGAACTGTGGCAGCGCCTTAATTAGGTGATTAGTCCTATTCAGGAGTACTGTTTCAAAGTGCGCTGACAAAATGTAGTCAATGAAGTATCTTGGCTTTATTAATGACGAACATGGCCGCTGACCAGACCCGAAGAACATCGACGCCATCAAACGTATGCCAGCACCCACAGACGTGAAGTTCCTCAGGTCTTACCTCGGTCACGGCAGCCATTACAGTTGTTTTCTACCTGCCATGCATCGCCTCCGAGATTCAATAAACTAGCTACTCACCAAGGAGAAGTGGATTGGTCAGACGAACCAACGCGCTCCTGAACCTGTCAAATCCATGCTGAGTTCCGATTTGCTACTCACCCACTATGATCTATCGATGGAAACCGTTGTGGCGTTCGGTGCTTCGAATATAGTAAACAATTAATAACTTTTAAGCTGTAGCAGCCTTTCGGAGCCTAGCTAACATGCCACCCGAAGGAAGCTCGTCGGCTGGGATACTGCCAGGTTGCCCAAGCCTAGCCGGAAATCGAGATGCAGATGTAGGGCTCAAACCACGGACCTTCCGATTACAATATCCATGCTATAACTACTAAGCCATCTCGCCTCTTACTTTGAAATATGGAATTAACTCAGTGATTTTGCATGTATTTCCAAGCCGCAACCCAAAAGCCATTTGACATGCGGCCAGGTCAGCCGAGCGCAACTACAGTCGTATAGAGGAAGGTTTGGCGACCGGATTTGCCGTCAAAAAGTTTCGCAAAATGTTCTATGGTCATCAGTTCACCAAACTGACCGATCACAATTCCCTCTTTACTGTGTTTAGCTCGAACAAAGGAATCCCGGCATATACTGCCAACTGTCCCCAGCGATAGACCACTCTGCTTCTGGGATATGACTTCAAGATCAAGTAACAGTCCACCACCAGCCCTTGACAAGTCGACACACTGTTGTGATTTATTCATTCAAGTAGGCCAGGACCAGAAGATACTGTAGTCGCAACAACCGCCTTGGAATTGGATGTTAACTGAATTTCATCCGAAGCGGTCCCCATTCTCCTAGTGACTGTCGATATCGTCCACCAGGCTACCGACGGAGACCTTGTGCTGCAGCAGATCATCGAACATCACCGCCATCAGTGGACGCGTACCTGCCCAAAAGACTAACAGACCTTACTTCAACCAGCGTGACGCACTATTACCAGTCGATGGATACCTTTCATTTTCGGAAGGCGTTATCATCTCAAAGGAGTTACAACCAGCCGTCCTGAATCAGTTTCATAAAGTTAGTCTGGGAACAAATAGGATGAAAACCCTTCCTCAGAGTTACGTCTAAAAGCCTTCGATGGACTTCCAGATTGAGAAAAGTCCCCAAATCTTGTCTGCGGTGTGGTGAAGCATCCAAGGCACCGTTAAAACCGACCTACGGTCGTGATGGAAACCAACCGAACTCTGGCCTCGTCTTCACATTGACTATGCGGGTCCAGTTGGTGGCCAACACTGGTCGGGGTGGATGCCAACAGCAAAGGGTCGGAAATTTATCCAGTTAACAACCCCATAACTGCTTACAGTCCTCGAAATCCGATAATTGCTCAGTCGCTTTGGATCACCAGAGTAAAAATCTGACAATGGTAGTCAGTTCACACCGTGGGTGTTCACAGAGTTTTGTCTGGAGTATGGCGTAAACCATGTGCGCTCGCAGGCGATTCATCTACAGTCGGACGGCCAGGCGGAATGCTTCGTTGAAACCTGCACTTTAGAAGTCCAGATGGGGAGTACCACCGGTTCCTTCTAGCATATTGAGCGACGCCAAACCCAAATCGCCTGATGGAGCGTCACCAGCAGAGGCAGTGCTTCGGCGTAAGCTTAGAAAACCGCACGACATTATCCCGCCACAGAAAAGGCAGTTTAGTCACAAAAACTCAACCGGCATCATACAGCAACCTTGCGCTCCTGCAGCGAAGGCCATAGCGTTTGTTTACGACTTCAGCGGAAGACACCTTCAGTGGATTCAAGGGCAAGCCTTCGGCAGTGTGATAACGTGTTCTACGAGATTCGAATTGTCCCAGCCAAGTGGATATGGCACAAAAAACTGGTCGGCAGATGAGCAAGTCATTTCCACAGGGCAGGGTGATTCAAGCCCGGGAAATTCCTTCAGGAAATTTTCTGATTTCGGCACCATTCAGTCGGAGGACCAGCCCGAGCACGCATTACAACCACGGTGCCGGACGGATATGATCCGTAAACCAGTGACGCAAATACAAGTGTGGTGTACGGTGTCTGCCATTGCGGTTGATTTATATACAAGTATTAGTGATGTACAACCTTGCTTACTGGGCTTCATTTCATGAGATTTGTTTCCTTCCGCAGAAACCGTCGTGAACACTTGATTTGGAGAATCACTGTCCCCTGGTGCATCCATGGCGTGCATACTACAGCAAACAAACCCAAAGCTCCGAAGCTACGTCGACAAACTTCAAGGCGGAATAGGACGTAATTTCACAGCGACAACGCTGTACCGCTCGCGTTTAGGCGCTGCTACGGCCGAGAAGTGTATGCCGCATCAGATTGGCCAAAAGTTCTGGCCGCTTGCTTCCGAGCTCCGATTGGTCGAAACCCCGTCGAACGCTACCAAGCTGGAGTTGGCTAAATTAGGAGTGAAGAACTGTAGTAGCCGCTTCAATAAGTCAGATAGTTTGTGCGTGTTCGTGTCAGTCTGTCAATCTACTACAGATCTAGCATGTGACTGTAGTAGCTGACTGGATGCACTTCCGATTTGTGTGTTCATTCTTCAATGCATCAGAGAAATATTTGCGGGCTGGCTGGACCTGTTATTTTAGCGTTTGCCTAGCAGATACAAGGCGGGCCTGATAAGCCGCATGTGTCTCATTTACATGTATTCCGATTTAATTTGAATTTATTGCCCCAATAAAAAGGTCATTTTTAAAAATTTATTAATTATCATGAATCCGTGAATCCTTGATAATTAATGTTTCCCTGGGTCATGGTAATAACCTTATGACGACATCTGACCACAACATCCCCTAGACCAGGAGGTTTTGTTCTCAAACATAGATTCAAGACTTCTCCCAGAACCGCCTCCTCAAGAACGCGTATCTTCCTCGACCAACTCAAACATGGACGTGCATATGGACCGCATAGGAAATTCGCAAGGTCGACGGGGTGCACAAAGTCGAACGGAATAGCGTTCGTTCAAGAGGATTCCCAGTCTTTGTAGGGCATTTGCACTTTTTCCCAAATCCGTCGTGTTTAGAGAGAAAGTCTCGCGCCAAAACAAGGCATTTTCCTGCATGCATGTTCAAGCTGAATAGGGGGAAATACACCATACAAAGAGCCTTGCTATAGATTCATTTTGTTTAAAATAATATTTATTCATGAATAATGGTGCTTTTTCAGTATGAAGGATGCCCTGACATGCCTGGAAATCATCATATGAACGAATGGGGTTATATTAAGCATACATAGAACATCATTTTTGCACTTATTATTTGTCAGAAAACCCATCACCACGGACACCCTCGAACTAGATTGATATTCACGCGAGGATTTCGCCAACACTTGTAGAAGATGAAATTTTCCAGTGCGTTGGTGCCGAATGGGGTCTTTTCAGGGATCCTAAAAAGCGTCGCTCAATTTGGCAAAGAACTTAACCTTCTATGTCTCAGTCGCCCGATGGGAGCAACCGTAATTTCACATGGAAAGAAGTAATTTGGACGTGAATCTATCGATCACATAGCCTAGGTAGGTACAAGCCTACTAGCATAGCCGGAGCCTGCGCAAAGTGATGAAAGGCATTTCGCATCGTGCAATCTTCAGTCGCCATACTGAGAAACTTCTGCAATCTTCAACAGAGTGCGAATTACCCCGAAGCCAATATTCCATGACGAACATGTCCGTATTTATTGACAAATGAACCCTGCCTAAAAACGGGCAAATTGTATCGGATGCAATATTTTTCCGAATTAACAAAGAAATTCGAGTCCCGGTTTTCCTCACTACAAACTCGATTTTGTGTAACTAAATTTTAAATTTTCGCTGGCTTAGGCAAAGAAATTCGAGTCCCGGATTTCCTCACTACAAACTCGATTTTGTGAAACTAAATTTTAAATTCTACGCTGGCTTAGGAAGTCCCTGTCAAATTGAACATTTGGAGCAGAAGTCAGCTCAACCGGCTCTTTTTCCAGCTCCACACCTGGTCTACGTTGATGACCTTCTGGATGGGCTATCAAGACCATTTCTGCTTTTCATGTACGATATGATACCCTGAAGTTCCAATATCAGTGACATCAAACGGACGTTGAAACATGCTCAGCAAATCACGTATTGCTGAACAGTCAGAGTCAGCCTGTGAAAAAGCACCGATACGGAAATGTGGCAGAGCACACCGTTTTCAAACGTCATTCTTCTGCTCATTTTCCCCTTACTTTGAACTTTCGGCATCTGTACGTGATTTACTGTAAAGTTTACAGTCCTCCATAACCATTTTAAATATTTTGGGGTTTCAGCTTCTTCGGTATCATCAGGGTGTTCCCTGCACTCTTATTCTTCGTGCTTGCCAACTCAGTGAGTGTTTGGCTGTCCGACCATCGAGAGATATTACATATAAATGCTTCGCTTTTCCAAATGACAATGCGGTTACCTATGCCCCACGGTCGCACATTTTGACTAATGAAACTTCCTACCTAACATTCGTTCTCAACATACCCTATGGAAATCCGCTGCCAGTTTGAGTTTCCTAATAAATCACCGCATTTCTAAAGGATGTATGCAATGTATGACAAGATACAGTATGGAATTATCTGCTAAGAGGAGATTGCTGTTCGAAGAACAGATTCTAGAGGAAATTGTGATGACTGAGTTGCCCCGGAGCGCACGCTAATAAAAAAGAAATGGCACGCTATAGACTACGAATTGAAGACGTGAATACGGTTCGGTTGGATCGATGAACGCAGAATCCACCGAACAATCACTGAATGCCTTCAACTTGTTCAGTGGGTCATTGTTAAGCATCACTGGTTTCCCAAAAATGAGCTGTAATCATCCTCGGTTGACGCTCAATGGTAAGACAAACGCTCTGATAGCTCCTGCACTTTCAGATCAGCTGCCCTGGCTAAATACTGAGGGATAGTATACTGGGTCGCGCGCAAGATTAACAGAGATTATGAAAGTTGAGATGGTTGTTTTACGCGTACATTGACTGGTTTGGATGAAATGTATTCAATGGCCATGCGCGCTATCATTATAATTGACTTAGTATAGTTCACCTAGGTCAGGTCTACGGGTGCACTCAATCAAATCACCTGAACTCAAAAGCTTCAGCATAAGAGGGTCGTCCTGAGGAGGCAGAACGAAAGCTATTATTATATTTAATTTGACACATCACTCTTCTTACCTGGTTTCGTTTACCTTTGATAATACCCCGCGTTCTGTCGAAGGCACAGTACGGGCGCTAAATGAATTATGCATTCAGTTATCTTCAGATTCCGCCAGGCTAGGTGAGTAGTCCCGGAAGCAATCAGGTGGCTTCAAAATGAAACAATAATATTGGGCTTGCCCAGCTGGCTGGTTGCATGTCGCCGTCATAGTCATAAGCACAGTCGAATAAACCAAGACTGATATCACTTGTTAGTGCTCAGCTTTTCCTCATTTTGTGCATCGATAAAATCCGTTGGTGTCGCAGCGTATCTTGGGGCCATTATATATATTTTTACCGGGAAATCGTCAATCGTAGTTAATGGAGTTGCCAGGTGATTGATACAACCGACCTGAAAGCGACAAACAGGTCAGATTGGTGCTGCCTATTAGGCTTTTCGCATTTGCATTCAGGTCCCGATCCACCGGTGATTGTCGAAGCATTCGCGTCACTAGAGGGGCGGTTAGTGGCAGTAGGGCACGATGGCGCAATGCAACAGTTTGAGCACCCATGGATGTTTCACCTCACCACTACACAAGGTTTCTACCCGTCGTGTATGCGGGTGGCAAACCAGCAGGTAGTCATGACCGCGGCTTGTGCATTACCAAAGAGCTTTAACTAACAGGCATTTTAGCCAGTAGAGAGTAGGCCAGGCCAAACTTTCGCACTCTCAGATTGCAACGGTTATAAAAACGTCTGTAAACATTCGAGTCTGCCATTCTTATCTAAAATTAGCCACCGGTGGCTAGATAAACGTGGCGTGCAAACATGGCCAACGATGGCAGATAGTCGCCCACTTCGGGTATACACGCCAGGACATAAAACAGATACTTCAAAAACCATCGTTTTACACGTTACACGGAAGCTTTTCCAGTCTCTTATGAAGATTAGGGTCTCATTAATCATCACTTTTGACAACAACAGCCTTCGTTTACACAAAACTGCCGAGACCATCCAAAAACAAGGGCGGCCTAAACCGAAACGAGAGTGTCCTAAATCTCCAAGTCACACTTCTGTATGGATTGTACCAGGAGTCCCATTATAATACCTCTTTAATTTTCCCTGCTGGCACTTATATCACGAGATCTGCAGCTGAAGATGGCCAATTGGCACTACATCTTTGGGGCATCCTAATTTCGACTGTGCCCAAAATTGAACCCAGTCTCCACCGAACGTTCTACAGCCGACCATGGTTAACATAAACACCAGTCCCTGAGAAACGTCATCTTCATTCCAGTTGATGTTTCAACCATCATTGGACCCCTGAAACTTTCGCGCTCGCAGTCGGTATCCTTTCACCCTTTATTCATTGAAACGAAGAAGTTATCGCATTATTTGGCCTGAGTGTGAGATTTCCCCCCCAGATGATGAAAATTCAAAATCCAGAATCATCTTGAATCGGGATCCGTACTGACTCTTTCCAACGGCATGGGAATCCTTCGGGTCCCTGCTCTGATGTGGGAATGACAGTGTGGAGCAGAAACCCGCTAAACAGGTCATTCGCAGGTACAAATGATATAGATAAGCGGCAGCAAAGCTTTCTGACCCGGAGGCCAGTTGAGGGTCACCTAGTTCGCTTAGTTGACTTCTACACTGTTGATAGTGGTGCCACGTACTTCATCCTGGTAAACCAACTGAATATCGAAAATACCCGGCTTAAAATCCTGTGATCTCAAAGCATAGAACCGGTTAGTTGTGCTAAACGCACGACCTAGATGTCCTATTAGACAAGTAGCGTGCATTTTATTCAACGACGATCGGTCAGTAATAATTGTGGGGATAACGAATTCCATGAAATTCGCCTGCATCCGTTCAGTGGTCGCAACTGTGCGGTGACTAACTTATTGAAGTAGGCGTGGGCAGACAGTATAGAGGATTATACCGTGGTTCTAGAAGAAATTAACGGTAAATCGTGAGGAAAATTAACAGAAAGCTTGACTGCAACTCGCTCAGGTAGCAAAGCATGATGGCACGGAAAGGACGGTGTGTTATCGGACAAATTAAACGGTACGAAAATTGCCCACCTATTCAATCCTTATAAAATGAACTTTGCTTTTCGCCAAAAAAACAGGACTTTGACGCTGTGTCTCTCTTCCACCAAGTCCCAGCAAATGTCCTGCCAACGGTCCATCTCTTTCTAGCGTTCGTAGTTAACGGAAAGAGAGAGCGAATAACTTAATCCAAAGTAGTGGCTTTACTTCGTCATTTCCCATCACGTCATATCATGGGTCGTCGAAGCACGTTTTCAAGGAGTGTGCTTCATGTAACATGGAGGATAGAGACGACAATTTTGAGAAATGTCTGCGACTTAAATTTGCTCTGTAATCACCCTTGGATTAAGTTGCATGGTAATGATTGAGCGAGTTAGCGTCGCACACCAAATATTTGCTCCCACATTCCAACCCACTCTCCTGCCGCCTCCACCGCATAATACTGGGTGTCAGAAAACTGTGGCAATGACAGATTTAGCTGAATTAAATTTTCCTACGTGGTCTTTCCCTTCATTTTGACTTCATACCACATGGTGAGCTCTGAATTATTTTCCGTCTTTTTAAGTTCCTCGAATCCCAAAGCGAGTCTCGTTCCTTCCCTACTGTCAGAAAATGTCGCTCCTGATTTCCTATTCAATAATGTTGACCCCTGAATATTCTCTCTAAAAGCTTCATAATTGCTCACATTTTGTCAAGGAGCATATTACGGAGTGTTCAGCGCAATGTTTTATCAAAGGCCAAATCATTTCATTCCCGGGTTTACCCACGTCAACGGAGTTGTAGGGTAACAGTAATAGTAGATCGTCCTTTTCCAGATGTATGGTCACTTTGGAAATTCATCTAGTTAAGCAAGAGCAGAATGAACCGGACGGGGCATGTGGGCTGGACTTGACCTAAAATATCCCGACACCAAAAAACGGTATCGGGCTCACCTAGGTTAACGCGGTCGCCTACACAAACAAAAGCCTATAATTTTGCGAATAATTCATCATACTAACTACCAAGTAGTCTCCGAACGGATCATAGCTGAAGAAACGTTAGGCGCCGAACTAGTGACACGTCGTATACACGTGATAATTGATATGGTTGTTGTAGTTTACAAGGCCTTACCGCTTTATGACAACGCACTTGGCGACCACGGATATGAAGTAAAATATAATTACTCCTTAGTCCCTGCCCTTCTTGAGGATTGGTCCGAAAGTATCTAGAGTTCGACTCCGGAAACTGGAGACGCTCATGTGCGGCAAGATGACATGCCATGTTCAAGACAGAGTCATTAGCACAGAATGCTGTAGTAAAAATAAGCAGATAGCCCGCGCGTATGATGGCACCGTGACGCGTCACTAATATATTGTGTAGACATACTCAGGGGCCCCAGAAGAAAGGTTGAGCGCAAGCCAGCTACAGATTTCCTGTAACCAACTTCCGTTCCAACGTTGGAAAGTCCCCGAGTGGCAAATGATGTGCGGTATACGGCCACTGCTATTAATAAGAATTTTATAATGACCATGACGGCCGTTATTATGAGATCGTGATAACCTGCCTTCTTTCGAAACGCTATGGTGGGCTTGAGAATCAAGAAAAAATGCCTCCAGAAAGGAGCATTAAACCGAATCCGC